AAAGAGTTCAGAAGGTTAGATTTCATGGTGTCTATTGGATTCCTTTCTTGTCTGTTCAGAATGTGTCTTCTTTAGTTTCAGTTAAATTGATTGCAGCATTGAAATCTATCCTCATCTTAGGTTGTTTCGAGTTTCAGTCTGCTGTGTAGTTTTCGGTTGATTTAATGGTGAAACTAAAGTTGAAAAGAAATTGTCTTTAATCTCATTTGTGAATAATGACAATTTTGATCGGTTTTGGTATCTCTTTGGGGTTGACTTTTTTGGGTTTTGATTTGAATCTTTATCACGTTCTATAGGATTTCCAGTATAAACCACAAGCTTATTTAATTGTGCATTTATTTGCCATTCAATTTGGAATTGGGGCTCTGGCTGCATTTGTCTTTCTCTTCAAGTAAAACTTATTTCTTCTGTGCTTTATTTTTTAAGTTGTTTTTTGTGATGAATCAAACTATTCATTCTCTTTTACATCTCATAGTCACCTCATTCATTTGAAATTCTGAATAGGAGAGTCTTTCTCCTTCTAGTCTAGGGTTTGAGAGGAGGCTTTTTGTCACCTCAAGGGAGGAAAATAAATAATAAATAATAAATAAAATAAAACAGAAGGCACAGTCTTTAACAGAAATGAATAGATGTATATATGACTTGTCATCTCGTTTGCATTGGTGAATTTTTGTCAATATTATGCAGTGTATTTTTCGCTTCTGCTATAAATCTTTCTGGTATATTATGCAGTGTTATGATTCTTGCGAAGAAAGTAGAAAAGAAATTAGAGATAGTAAAGGGAGACTGGGAGAGGGACTTTAAGCTTGGTTGTTTGAATGATTTTTCTTACCAAGATCTGACTGTCTAATTTCTTATTTGTCTGATGGATGTTTTAGCTTAGTGAAGCAGAACTACCTGCAAAACTGTCAAGCAGAGGTTGAGATGGAAGTTGTTCCAAGAGAGGTTGATAATGCTCTGTCTGGTCCAAGGCCAATGGAATGGTCTGTTGTTCCACATGCTCCTCAGCACATGAAAGGAATGGAAACAAACGGACATCTAGTCTGGAATCACCAATCATGTTGCTGACTGGTCATCAGAGTGCTGTATACACCATGAAGTTCAATCCTGCTGGAACTGTTATTGCATCTGGGTCTCATGACAAAGAAATTTTCCTTTGGAATGTGCAAGGGGACTGCAAAAACTTTATGGTACTAAAGGGACATAAGAATGCAGTACTGGATCTTCAGTGGACTACTGATGGGACCCAGATAATATCAGCCAGCCCTGACAAAACCTTGAGAGCATGGGATGTAGAAACTGGTAAACAAATTAAGAAGATGGCAGAACACTCGTCCTTTGTGAATCCATGCTGTCCTTCACGCAGGGGACCACTGCTTGTTGTCAGTGAATCTGATGATGGAACTGCCAAACTTTGGGACATGCGTCAGAGGGGTGCGATCCAAACAGTTCCAGATAAATATCAAATTACAGCTGTTAGTTTCTCTGATGCATCAGATAAGATTTTCACTGGTGGTATTGACAATGATGTCAAGGTTTGGGACTTGCGTAGAGGTGAAGTTACGATGACACTTCAAGGTCATCAAGATATGATAACTGGCATGAGTCTAAGTCCTGATGGTTCTTATCTTCTTACCAACGGCATGGACTGCAA